AAATATTCTTGCTTATGTCACATTTTCTCCACGAGTATTGGGTCTACGGACTTCAAACTTGTGGACGTTGTTGCCAGACTAACTAGCTCTCGATACATGTCAAAAAAATCAGAAATTTTTTATAACAAGATACCGCCAATACGAGATATAGCATGTAAACACACCACGGAGCGAAGCCCGCTGACAGCCTACTCTATGGCAATTTACGCACAGAAACAAACTCGGGCAAAATATCTTGCTTATGTCACATTTTCTCCACGAGTATTGGGTCTACGGACTTCAAACTTGTTGGACGTTGTTGCCAGACTAACTAGCTCTCGATACATGTCAAAAAAATCAGAAATTTTTTCATAACAAGATACGCCGATACGAGATATAGCATATAAACACACCACGGAGCGAAGCCCGCTGACAGCCTACTCTATGGCAATTTACGCACAGAAACAAACTCGGGCATAATATTCTTGCTTATGTCACATTTTCTCCACGAGTATTGGGTCTACGGACTTCAAACTTGTTGGACGTTGTTGCCAGACTAACTAGCTCTCGATACATGTCAAAAAAATCAGAAATTTTTCATAAAGATAGACACGCCGAAACGAGATATAGCATGTAAACACACCACGGAGCGAAGCCCGCTGACAGCCTACTCTATGGCAATTTACGCACAGAAACAAACTCGGGCATAATATTCTTGCTTATGTCACATTTTCTCCACGAGTATTGGGTCTACGGACTTCAAACTTGTTGGACGTTGTTGCCAGACTAACTAGCTCTCGATACATGTCAAAAAAATCAGAAATTTTCATAACAAGATACCGCCAAACGAGATATAGCATATAAACACACCACGGAGCGAAGCCCGCTGACAGCCTACTCTATGGCAATTTACGCACAGAAACAAACTCGGGCATAATATTCTTGCTTATGTCACATTTTCTCCACGAGTATTGGGTCTACGGACTTCAAACTTGTTGGACGTTGTTGCCAGACTAACTAGCTCTCGATACATGTCAAAAAAATCAGAAATTTTTCATAACAAGATACCGCCGATACGAGATATAGCATATAAACACACCACGGAGCGAAGCCCGCTGACAGCCTACTCTATGGCAATTTACGCACAGAAACAAACTCGGGCATAATATTCTTGCTTATGTCACATTTTCTCCACGAGTATTGGGTCTACGGACTTCAAACTTGTTGGACGTTGTTGCCAGACTAACTAGCTCTCGATACATGTCAAAAAAATCAGAAATTTTCATAACAAGATACCGCCAATACGAGATATAGCATATAAACACACCACGGAGCGAAGCCCGCTGACAGCCTACTCTATGGCAATTTACGCACAGAAACAAACTCGGGCATAATATTCTTGCTTATGTCACATTTCTCCACGAGTATTGGGTCTACGGACTTCAAACTTGTTGGACGTTGTTGCCAGACTAACTAGCTCTCGATACATGTCAAAAAAATCAGAAATTTTTCATAACAAGATACCGCCGAAACGAGATATAGCATATAAACACACCACGGAGCGAAGCCCGCTGACAGCCTACTCTATGGCAATTTACGCACAGAAACAAACTCGGGCATAATATATCTTGCTTATGTCACATTTTCTCCACGAGTATTGGGTCTACGGACTTCAAACTTGTTGGACGTTGTTGCCAGACTAACTAGCTCTCGATACATGTCAAAAAAATCAGAATTTTTCATAACAAGATACCGCCGATACGAGATATAGCATATAAACACACCACGGAGCGAAGCCCGCTGACAGCCTACTCTATGGCAATTTACGCACAGAAACAAACTCGGGCATAATATTCTTGCTTATGTCACATTTTCTCCACGAGTATTGGGTCTACGGACTTCAAACTTGTTGGACGTTGTTGCCAGACTAACTAGCTCTCGATACATGTCAAAAAAATCAGAAATTTTTCATAACAAGATACCGCCGATACGAGATATAGCATATAAACACACCACGGAGCGAAGCCCGCTGACAGCCTACTCTATGGCAATTTACGCACAGAAACAAACTCGGGCATAATATTCTTGCTTATGTCACATTTTCTCCACGAGTATTGGGTCTACGGACTTCAAACTTGTTGGACGTTGTTGCCAGACTAACTAGCTCTCGATACATGTCAAAAAAATCAGAAATTTTTTCATAACAAGATACCGCCGATTTGAGATATAGCATATAAAACACACCACGGAGCGAAGCCCGCTGACAGCCTACTCTATGGCAATTTACGCACAGAAACAAACTCGGGCATAATATTCTTGCTTATGTCACATTTTCTCCACGAGTATTGGGTCTACGGACTTCAAACTTGTTGGACGTTGTTGCCAGACTAACTAGCTCTCGATACATGTCAAAAAAATCAGAAATTTTTCATAACAAGATACCGCCGATACGAGATATAGCATATAAACACACCACGGAGCGAAGCCCGCTGACAGCCTACTCTATGGCAATTTACGCACAGAAACAAACTCGGGCATAATATTCTTGCTTATGTCACATTTTCTCCACGAGTATTGGGTCTACGGACTTCAAACTTGTTGGACGTTGTTGCCAGACTAACTAGCTCTCGATACATGTCAAAAAAAAGAATTTTTCATAACAAGATACCGCCGCATACGAGATATAGCATGTAAACACACCACGGAGCGAAGCCGCTGACAGCCTACTCTATGGCAATTTACGCACAGAAACAAACTCGGGCATAATATTCTTGCTTATGTCACATTTTCTCCACGAGTATTGGGTCTACGGACTTCAAACTTGTTGGACGTTGTTGCCAGACTAACTAGCTCTCGATACATGTCAAAAAAATCAGAAATTTTTCATAACAAGATACCGCCAAAACGAGATATAGCATGTAAACACACCACGGAGCGAAGCCCGCTGACAGCCTACTCTATGGCAATTTACGCACAGAAACAAACTCGGGCATAATATTCTTGCTTATGTCACATTTTCTCCACGAGTATTGGGTCTACGGACTTCAAACTTGTTGGACGTTGTTGCCAGACTAACTAGCTCTCGATACATGTCAAAAAAATCAGAAATTTTCATAACAAGATACCGCCAATTGAGATATAGCATATAAACACACCACGGAGCGAAGCCCGCTGACAGCCTACTCTATGGCAATTTACGCACAGAAACAAACTCGGGCATAATATTCTTGCTTATGTCACATTTTCTCCACGAGTATTGGGTCTACGGACTTCAAACTTGTTGGACGTTGTTGCCAGACTAACTAGCTCTCGATACATGTCAAAAAAATCAGAAATTTTTCATAACAAGATACCGCCGATACGAGATATAGCATATAAACACACCACGGAGCGAAGCCGCTGACAGCCTACTCTATGGCAATTTACGCACAGAAACAAACTCGGGCATAATATTCTTGCTTATGTCACATTTTCTCCACGAGTATTGGGTCTACGGACTTCAAACTTGTTGGACGTTGTTGCCAGACTAACTAGCTCTCGATACATGTCAAAAAAATCAGAAATTTTCATAACAAGATACCGCCGATACGAGATATAGCATGTAAACACACCACGGAGCGAAGCCCGCTGACAGCCTACTCTATGGCAATTTACGCACAGAAACAAACTCGGGCATAATATTCTTGCTTATGTCACATTTTCTCCACGAGTATTGGGTCTACGGACTTCAAACTTGTTGGACGTTGTTGCCAGACTAACTAGCTCTCGATACATGTCAAAAAAAGAAGAATTTTTTCATAACAAGATACCGCCGATACGAGATATAGCATGTAAACACACCACGGAGCGAAGCCGCTGACAGCCTACTCTATGGCAATTTACGCACAGAAACAAA